TGGTCTGAGACGCATTTGACCACATATATTTTGTCGTGTAAACCCTAACGCATCCTGGTCCACAGCGTATGGCCGATAGCCTTGGAGTTCTTTCATTTAGTAGAGGAATTTCTTCATCAAAGGGTTTTAACATTTCTGGCAGCATCATTAGTGTTGTTTTGCCCTTTAACAGAAGTTTTCTTTAAATTAAGCAGTGGGAGGTTATTTTACTCACTCTATGTTATTCACACATGAATGTAATTGATGTCTTGTTATGTGGCTTTACGCTCTCTTCCATAAATGTTGGTATGTCCGGTATCACAGAAAACTTGAAGCTTGGAAGCACATTTGTGAAAATTCACTGACATTCAACCCCATACAGACACATCAGAGACGTTTCACGAGCGCTTAAGTCCTTCCATTTGAGTCGTGTCGTTCCATTAAAGTTGTACTCAGAGGTTTTTGTGTTTGCAGAATTTGCTGATATGTTCCCTGAAAACGCTGACTCGTGTTTGGGAACCGGTTTATTTCCAGCCCTGTCAGTTCCAACTTGGACAGTTTTTGGTATTTTTTTTTTACCACATTAAAGCTCAATTAGAGTAAATACAGGTCTGAAGAATTTAAATCATTGTTGGACACATAAAACTATCCACTGAAACCCAGACTAATAAAATGTAGGTTGACTCAGGTCGGTTTTATTCACATAGCCCAAAATCCCAAATCTAAAATACATACGGCCCTTTATATCCTTAATTTAGATAAGAACAGTGGTGGAAAGAGTACTGAAAATCTAATTACTGTGACATTACTGAAATATTATTCAATTACAAGCAAAACTACTTAACTTTTTTAGGGAAAACTACAGTATTCTTCTCAAAAACTACTATAATATCATGTATTTGTTACTTTAAATCAATGTAGAAAATATCTACTTTCAATGAAGCACCTTTCGCTGATCATAAAAGGTATGAATGTTCTCAGTGCTACTAAATCTGTCTCCATTTGGTTTCTGTTTCACCTCTAATCCTGTGCATGCTGCAGCATTGTTGTTGGTTTTTGTTGTTGGTTTTTATGTGCCCGCATTGTGTTTTCTGGCCCGATTCGCTTGTGTTGTGTGAAAAAAATAGACACTGCTGCAGATCACGAGCCGGCTGTGCAGTTCTGTGGCGTGCTCTCTCTGAATAGCTGGATAACATGGGCGCCGAAAGGAATCGGGCTTCGGCCTTGTGTGTCTCTGTTGTATTGGCTACAGAAATGCAGATAAAAGGTTTGGATGTAAATTGTAAACAGTAGCAAGGAGATTAAATAGTGCAACACTTAAAGGACCAGTGTGTAGGATTTAGTGGCATCTAGTGTTTGAGATTGCAACTATCTGAACACCACTGGCATCATATGACGACCTGGGAATAAAAACAAGCTATTAAGTGGCCCGAAACTTGCGAAAATGCAAAAGGGCCAGTGTTTGGTTGGTCCGTTCTGGGCTACTGCAGAAACGGTTCAACATGGCGGACGTCATGAAAGATGAATAGCAGCATCTGTAGATAAAACGTCTCATTCTAAGGTAACAAAAACACAAAAATTGTTATATTCAGGTGATTATACACTAATGAAAACATACCCGTGAATATTATATTAAATTTAAAAAAACTGGATCTTTAAGTAAGAAAATACTCATACAAGTACCCCAAAACATGACTTAATTACAGCAACGTTAGTACTTTCACCCCTGGATAAGAAGGATGAAACTGAAATAAGATCTGTCTTCCAGGACAAGGGAATTAGTTCTTTTGTCATGAAAAAATCTGACTATAAAATCTGATCAAAATGTTGCGTTTAAAGTCCAATATCTAAATAAAAACCGCAAAAATCTGCACAGTCATACCTCAGTCAAACCATATGCTCCCTACATTCCTGCTGTGCTTTCACATCGTAACATAACAAAGAGAAACTAGCTGCAGATTCAACGTCTTCAAAGCAGCATGAAACACCAGGCGCACGTGGCTCCATGCAGGCGTGCACAGGATGGAAACGAGTTATGCACCGGGGAATACATGAGCTCCAGCTGTTCTGCTGCTGTGCCTTCGCAGGGTTTGCTTTAATGGACACGGACCTTTAACTGTTTACTCTGAAACTCAACACACTTTTATAGCAGTTTGGTCCGCTCGCACCGAATTTATGATATTTCTGACAAATGAATCACCAAAATCAGTGTGTGGGATTTCGAGGGAACACCCAGGGACAGTTTAGAAGAGAGTCACTGCATTTCAAAGTGATGTGAAGGATTAAAAATGCTGACAAAAAACAATCCTATTTGCAGAGAATCAGTCAGTCCTGGACTTTGTTAAAGGCCACTTTTTCTAAATTTGGTTACTGATTCACCTTGAGAGCTGATGTGTGTCTCTCCTGACTGATTACAGGTTAGACAAACTCTGTTCTTTGGTTTCTAGTCGAGGGAGATGTCAAATCAGTGTGTAGAAAGTTAATTTACTGGAATTCCTCTGTAACACTAGAGCTCGAGGCTTTAGGACCAAGGAGGCATTTGACAAGTGCTAAAATATCCTGATTACATGGTTGAGATTCAAATTTAAAGGTCCAGTGTGAAACACTGAGAAAGATCTATTGGCAAAAATGGAATATAATATTCATAGGTATGTTTTCACTAATGTGAAATCACCTGAATATAGAAATCGTGAAAAATTAGCTGTTTTTATCTACAGAGGGAGCGGGTCCTCTTCTGGTGGGGTCCGCTGTTGAACCACCATGTTTCTACAGTAGCCCAAAACACAGGCCGTTCACATTTTTTCCTTCTCAGGTCGTTAATTACTGATGCAAGCAGTGTTCAGTTGGTTGCAGTCTGCAACTTCACCACTAGATGCCACTAAATCCTTTACATTGCTTCTTTAAGAAAGTTTTAGAAACTTTTGAACTAATATCAAACTGAGTATAGTAGTAGTAGTAAAAGCAAAGTAGAAACAACAGTGAAACATGCAATAAACAGTGTTTGGTTTGTCCGTTCTGGGCTTCTTTAGAAACATGGCGGACTCTGTAGATAAAAGACTCATTCTTGCGACTGCTGCTGGTATTTTCATTCCTCAAATACTAGAAAGTGCAATATTCTGAAAGTATTTCCAATACTAACATCTAAAGAGAAGATATTAACTGGTCAAAACACAATAAGTGCTTTTTGTGCATTTTAATTTCAGCTTCAGTTAAGATTTTTGTGGTTTCATGTCTGCTGTGTGATTATAAATACACTCTTCCTCGCTGCTCTGTTGTTATATATCTTATATCATGTGTTTTTATTATTGACTTGGTTGCTTTTATAAAGTGTGTTTTCTCCTGCCACATCTGGGTCTGAGAAAGATGTTACGATTAAAAAAAAATTATCAAAAAGGTAGGTGACTCATCTGAAAAGATATATTTGAATTCCAGATAGTTTTAAATTGAATCCAGCCGTGATGTTAGTCACCGCTGTTGTCTGGAGGTCGTCCCCTGGAACAAAGGCATGTTTTCCCCCAATTTTCCAGACTCATTGGTAACAACTCTGCCTGGACAGAGACCCTGAATGATGTAAGGCTGAGTTTGGTGAATGAAATAAAATGGAGAGACAGCGAGAGAGAGAGAGATGGATATGACCTCTGAGACTTTCTTGAGGACATCTGGCTCACATGACTTTCCCCATAAAACCTTAATATTAATCCCTGCAGCATTTTAGGGCACTGTTCAAGTAATACCACTCAACAGCAACAAAAAAAAACAGCAGTTAGTAAAAAATCAGAACTACTCCCATCAGTAAATGTCTCCATTGATGTGCTGTGGGCAGAAGTTGTTCCACTGATTTCCTGCTGTGATTTAGATGTTCTTTATCTCAAAAACTGACCAGCAACAATGAGTTTAAAAGGGAAAGTGTCTTATAATCAAAGTATTATCAACTTGTGTCACTGTGGTTAAAACACTGGGGGAACTTTGGCATTGTGTTGACTTTTAATACAGCTTTTATGTTCTGTCACCAGAAACTAAAAAGTTAGATAATCACAGTTAAAATCTTGTCCAACTTACATTATCATGGCATAATAGAAAGCCCTCATATACTACAAAATGGGTGCCGATACAGTTCTGTACTTTGGCTGCCTCTCTTTGCAGACATGAGCAGCAGAGGTGGGACCAAGTTTTGCAGGTCATAAGTAAGTCTCAAAGTCTTTGCATTCAAGTACCGAGTCTTGCCATCTTGGCAGTCTTGACTCAGTCGGCTCCCTGGTTAAAAAAATGGGCCAAGAGGTGGAGCTGAGGCGGGCCAAATGAAGCCTGGTTGCTGAAAACAGCCGCCTGTAAAGGCCTCCACCTGTCACTCAAAGCAGCCTCAATTGTGCATAACTTTTTAAGCCTTAATATAGTTTAAACGTTTTCTATGTCTGTAAGATTCTGCATGGCTTAGGGGCGTGGGGCACTGATTTATGCAGGGGCATGAAGTACGTGTCTCAGCTATCCAGTCATTCCCAGTTTATACAATTCTAATACTGTTTAGAGGTGGTAAAATACCATATTTAAAACACTGCATTGCATTAGCATAAATAAAATAATATCACTTCCATGAGGCTGTTGTTGGCAGATCACAGGCAGCTTATAGCAGTTTATATTATGTTAATTATAAAGTTTATTAAGATAAATGGCCTTAATAATCATTAATAACACCAAATAATACACTAAAGCGTCAAGTTAGAAACCCTTGTTGCATTTAATGTTGCTTGAATTACAACCGACTGCAGCTGAAGTTAAACTTTAAAAACAGGTGCAGTTCCCAGGATTCCCAGGATAGCGTGCTTTTGTTCCCGGGATAGAGAATGTCTAATTTTCGGGAAAAATATGAATCCCTTGCGGCTACTTTTGCTAACATCACTACAACAGCATATATTGGCAAACGAAGGAAATTGAACGTCACCTGAGACACGAATCCTGGCTGGAATAACACGTTTTTAAGTCTTTCCAAACAAGCAGGAAATTTGTATCCTGTATACTCGTACCCTGTCCGAAGCGTCCAGTCTTATGGACCTCACTGGCTCCTCGGTATCCCAGCATCCGACACACCACGTCTCCGTCCTTTTTATCCCAGACGTCGTCGCACACCGTCCCCCAGCGGCGCTCATGGAAAACCTCCACGCGACCTTCGTGAGGACCGGACCCGTTCACCAGCCGCACCATGGCCTCCTCCACTGCAACACAAACACACGTTAACAAAAATGATCTGTGTTTCTGCCATTAAATGTGCAGACTGTTTTTATGCATTTATTTGGAGCCTTTTTGCAGAAATACCGAAGTCTCTATTATTTACGCCAACACGACTTCACTGATAAAACACATGACTCTCTTTTATCCGGCGTTTGCTTGGCGCGGCTTTGAACTCACACTGAGCAGATTATTTTCATTGTGAGTGTTTATGAGTTTAATGAAGCCCTGTAAATCAAACCAATATGAAAACAAACGGAGATGAATAGGTTGTTTTCGACATACTGCAAGGAATTTCTTTCCCCCCCGATAAACCACAGATATAGTCTTTGATTCAACAAGACAAATAAATAAAATTTTTCTGAGGGAACTTTTTCTTTCCTCCTCTTTTTGTGAAACCCCCTCGTAAAGAAGTTGGGAGGATGCAAAGATTTGGGACTGAAGTTCAGTCCAAAAGTGATTTTTCAGTGATTGCTGAACATCATTTGAACATCAGGATCTGCAGTCTGGCAGTATTCGAGAACCCGACAGCGTCATAACTTTGCTGCATACATCTGTAAGTATTTATCCACCTTACTGAACCAGGAAGTCGTTGCTCCCAGTAAAACAGTCCCGTACATAAACCACAACTTATTGTTTTTGCCCTTTTTGTACAGGTTCAACAAACAAGACATAATGTTCAATATCCAAAGGCATAAAAGGTAGCACACTCAAACACATTTCCAGGACAAAACTGACTAATCTTAATTACACCAGTTTATTTTGGCCTCGTCAGATAAACATACTAATGTTTCAGCCTGATTGACCTTCATCACGCATCAGCAAACAGGATATAAAGTGTTTTCAGTGAGCTTTAGAGGTGCTGCTGGGTGGATATTTTTACCCGTTTACAGTATTTGTGCTAAGCTAAGCTCCATATTTATCATTTATCATCATTTCTTTCCCAAAATGTCAAACTATTCCTTTAAAGGACCAGTGTGTAGGATTTAGTGGCATCTAGAGGTGAAGCTGCAGATTGCAACCAACTAAACACTGCTCGCGTCAAATATATGACGACCTTGGAATGAGAACAGGCCGTGAAACTCACAGATAACCCAGTCTGGAGCCGGCGTTTGGTTTGCCTGTTCTCGGCTACTGTAGAAACAAGGCGGTTCAACATGGCGGACTCCGCCATGAGGATGCGGGTGACCACTGCAGATAAAAACGTCTCATTCTAAGGCAACAAAAACACAACAATTCTTATTTCTGTTATTTTTTAAGTGTGTTTTAACTTAACAAAAATAAACTTAATAAATATATAAGAGAGAGACTAACTTTTTACTTTTCTGTATGGTTGTATTTTTCTGTTTAATGAGATATTATTATTTAAAATATGTGTTTTTCTTTTCCTTTCTTGATATTTGGTGAGTTTATTATGTTTATTAAAGCCGTTAGAGTTCATCTCCCAGCTGAAACTACTGTCGTTGGACCGATGGTAAAAATGTCACACAACCATAGTGCAAAGTACAGTTTGATTTAGGGTCGGAAGTGCCTTGCTCAGGGGCACTAAGGCCAAGAACTTACATACAAGAAACCACATTATAATCAGAATGAAGTGTGTGTGTGTGTGTGTGTGTGGATCCATGGAAGATCTCGTATTTCTGAAACTATGCAGCAGCTGTACTCATATAATTGACTTGATTTATCACCTTGAGACAGAGAGGTAAACACACACACACACACACACACACACTCACACACTCACACACTCACAGACACTCTTCTGGACCTTGGTGTTGACAAAGTGCTGGAGAGTAAAGCCAGACACATTATCTAGACAGGATATTAGTCTCATCAGACCATCATAAATTTTAACTGTGTACCATTTAACTCTCATTATACAGTGGAGTACTTTGCACTCACTAGCCCATCATAATTTAATGTCTACCATAATGTTGTACTATCATATCTAGCTGCACAAGTTTGTATCATATTCTTGCAGAAAACCCAGGAAATTAAAAACAGAAATGAGATGTACTGAAAGAAAGAAAAGGCCTGAAAGAGAGAAAACCAATGAATGCAACAAGGGATGAGTAATTGAATATTCAATTACCTGAAACAGATGTTGAAACTATTTGTTCACTCATCAAATACAAAACAGTCCCTCTTTTTCTTTTTTTTTTTTTACAGTTGCTGTGAAGTTGGGTAAGAACTGGAGACCCTGCTGGCACGATGATGAATGAATGCGACAGTGATTAATATTTCTTATAGCGGTTAAATAAAGGATACTTTAAAATGTCCTTAAATGAACCTCTGGGGCTCCAACGGCAGCAGAACAAACAGACTTTATAGTTATTGTTATGGCTCGTCTTCTACTCACTGCTGGTTCATTGAAAAACAAACTTTATTAAAATTAACTGCTTTTATCTTTCATATTTCTTTTTGGGTGGAATTGATTTAATTAATGTTAATATTTGGAATAATTTACATATAAATGCCAGTAATTGTAGCTTTGCAGCTTTACAGGTTTGTTGACACTTCTTTGGTTCTTTTTACCAACTTTTCGTAAGCACTGCCATTTCCTTAACCGCGGCCCTTTCCTGTACTTACATGTGCTACAGTACATGCTAGGCTAATCTATGTTGTAAAGATAACCACATTTTAATGATAGTTAGAAGATAAAAGTGACATGTATAGTCACATCTTATTAATTAGCTAGTGTTAGGATAACATTAGCTATTAGATGTAACTAGCTAACTAATGATTGATGTAGATTAGCTAGCTAGTTAGTTACTTAAAGCACCACAGTATTATATATTAATGTATATTATATTAATGGAAAATAATTATTTAGCCATTAATGTGTATATTATTTTAATGTTGCAGCTGGTAAAACTGGGGATTTTTTGAAGTGAATTTTACCAAGCAATCAATAAAGTCTTATCTTTATCCATAAAAATATATCCTAATTAATTTGTTGATTATATTTAGTAATATTAATCTGAATCTCCAAGTCACAAGTAACTAAAATAGTATAAATCGATCTTTACATGTTATAACTTTTTCTTTTCTTCTGTCTTTGTTTTATGTTTCTACACTAAAAGCTGGACATATATAGTAAGTAAATATATAATAAGTAAGTTATTTAAACTTTCAAAAACTATGAAGATATTATATAATATAAACTCTATTATATCAGTGACTGGCTCATACAGGCAATAAAAGGCCATAATCAGTCCTAATATATCATCCTTATCTTAAAGTTCATGTTAGAGTTTACGTTTCTCTCACTCCATTCATCTTTTCCTCTCTCGTTCTTCCACTGCCCGTAAAGTGCCCGAGGCTTCCCGCTGTACACTGAGACACTCTGGGAGGAAGAGGAGGATGAAGGAGAGGGTCTGGATGGAAGAAGTACATGTAGACTTCAGAGATAACGAGAACCATACGTTCATATCTCTGTCATAAAGAGCCGGACAGCAAACATATTGGTGAATATGATGAATTATGTTATTATGTAATCTGGTGGAAGTGTACTTTATTTATAAATGGTAGAAATGAACCAGATGCATTTTGTTTTATTGTGAAACTGATAGTGTAGTGTTAACATTTAGTAAACTGATTAAGTGACATATGGATATTTCATATTATATTCAATGCATAACAGTAACAGTAGAGAACAACTGATAAACTGTACAATGAATCCAAACAATGAACACTATAACTGCAGAAGATGTATGTAAAACAAGAGATTTTGATGAATTTTGAAAATAAATATATGCTTCTTTTTGTCAAATTCAGCGTAACTTTTCTAATGCAGAACGAGACTGTTTAGCAGATGGAGAAAGCTCTGTGAATATAGCTTGTGTTCAGGTCTTCACCATGCCCTTACCCTGTTTAAAAATAGAATAATTTTATTTATCAGCATTTTCTTAACAAAAATGAATGAAATGCTGATATATAAAGCCAACTGTTTTCTCACACCCCTTAAAATTCAAGAAATGCCTTGTGACCTGGGTTCTACATCTATAATATGCTATCTATGCATGCTGGCATGACTCTCTTGATATCTGATTACCATAACATAACTAACTGTCAGGGCTGGTGACAAGGACTGACTCAAGTGCCAGACCACGAGTTAAAGTCTCCATAAGGATTTTATTGAAATGCACAACACGACGTGGTGAGTGGCCCCGAGATGCAGTGAGGACAGAGAGTTGGGTATGGGGTCCGGCGCTCAGTTGCTCTGCGTTGTGGAGATGCAGACAGTAATTCTAATAGCTACAAGTTCTGGTTGGCTGGCGTTGTTCTCATACTAGTTGATTCAACGATCCGGCGGCGGACTGAAAGTCGCCCTGGCTTATGCAAGTTGTGGTGTGAGGAACAGGATGCTGAGTAGTGGATGAGCAACAGTTGAGCTGTGAGTGTGTGATGCACCACAGTGTGAGGCAGGAGTCCGCGCCACCGCCCCTTTGCATGTATTTGCATGAAGGAGGCCGATCCCCCTCCCCAACAGCGCCCCCAGGCGTCCTCAAGGCTTTTCAGGATGGACGGGTGGAAAGCCGGATGAGAGCGGCATCCACATCTGCCGCCCGGTGAACCCAGCTCCTCTCCTCCGGTCCATAACCTCCCAGTCGATAAGGTACTTGCAGGCCGCGGCCGCAAGGATCCAAATCCGGTGCACCAGTGAACGCTGCTGGCCCATCAATTTAGCCGGGGGGTGGAGGGCCGGGGAAGGGGAGCAGTGGCTGTAGGACGGATTTAGCAGGAACATGAGGCTTGTTGGACCCCTGAGAGTCGGCGGGCAACTGGAGACGGACGTCCAGGAGTGATAACCTTCTCGACCAACAAAGGGGCCAATGTACTTGGGTGACAGTTTCTTTCGGCACGTTTCAATGGAGATCTCTTTGTGGAGAGCCATACCTTTCTCCAACGGAATAGTTTTGGGTGCAGGGTGCGACGACGGTTGCATTGTCGCTGCATACTGGGCCGAGGTTCTCAGCCAGCGGCT